GATACTGTGTATTGTTTTTTATTCTCAATATCATTAATTTTGGTTCTGATGCTTATTGTTTCTTGTTTTCTCCTTTCTTTGGTGTTATTTTATTCTTTTTCTAAGACTTTAAGGTGAGGCATAAGCTTCTTGGAATCTCTCTCTTTTTTTAAATATAGGCACTAAATGTAAAGAATTTTCCTCTTATACTACTTTCAGTATGTCCCAAATATTTTGATATGCTGCACCTTTGTTTTCACTTGTTTCTAAGAATTTCTTGATTTTTTCTTCCATTTCTTCTTTGATCCATTCTTCATTTAAAAGAGCATTGCATAATATCCATGTATTCATGTGGTTTCTATTATTTTTCTTGCTGTTGATTTCTAGTTTCATTCCATTATGATCTGATAGAATGCATGTATTCATGTACTTAAATTTGTATGTCCTGTTTTCAAGGCCTGAGTTTCTGTCTTCAAGGGCTGAAGCTCTATTTTATATGCAATCTACTCTGTTGGTGGTACTTTCAAATAGATTTTTAATTTAATTCATTGTATGTTTCATTTCTAGGAGTTCCTGTTGTTTTCTTTTCAACATTTGTATTTCTTTATTGAAGTGATCTTTCATCTCTGCATTTTCTCTCCCAATTTATTCCTCAGATCTTCTTTTAGTTCATTGGACATTTTAACAATCAATTTTTTATAGTCCTTCTCTGGAATTTCATACTTCTTTATCTATGGGACCCTTTATTAGAGGGCTCTGAGTTTTGGGGGGGAATTTGCTCACCAGTTTCCTCATGTTTTCAGAAGTTTCTGGACATGAGTATCAATTGAGGTGGATCCCCATTCTTCTTTTATACACATGTCCTTTTAAAACTAGGATTTCTTTCAGTTTTTGATAAATGTGTAGATGTCAAGGTGGGGGGGACCTGAAGTTCCATTCTGGTTGTTTCTCCTTCTAGCTTGGTTTTTGTTTGGGGGATTTTTTACCCCCACTTCTATTAATTGAAATCATATTTAGGCTCAGGTGGGATTAACACTTGTGGGGCGAGATTCACTGTTGTTTGACTAGGTTTTGATAATTTCTTGGCATCAGGGTTTCTACTCTGTAATCTTGAAGCATTCCAATCATTTTCCAGCCCCTCTTAGAGGGAGGGGAGAGCTAGGAATAGCACTAATGTCAGTAACTGATGGATAAAAATAAATGTCCAGAGTCTACTTTGACATCTGTAACATTAATTGCCATCTATATAGGAATGATGGGGTGTAGGGATTCTGACCGTGGAAATGTACAGGGAAGTGTTCCCCTGGTAAGAAACCCGCCCCCCTGGGGTGGGGTAACAGGCACCCTATTTCCCATCCTTAGAATATCCTGTAATCTCTCTTAGGATCTAATAATATAGCTAATGTATGTGCTATGTCTAGCTGGTATGACAATGCCCTGAGAGGCCTCTGTGTTAGAGCCTCATCAAACTTCGACCTTGATTGCAGGCACATAGCTCCTGTGGATAGAAGAAATTGTTTGCTAGATAACTATGATGTTTCATCAAGCTCTGGTGCTTCTGAAGCTGCCTGACTAACAGTAACTTAAACAATAGACTTTCTTAAGGACTGCACAATGCTCCTAACATTGCATATTGTAACTGTGAAATGTAACTACAGAATAAGCAACCTTACTGATACTCTTAAGCAATAATGTGGTTATGGTACTAATGACCTAATGTAACCTGTTGGTATAAATAAATGTGGCTGCTTGGACAAAGAGCCACTCTGCCACCTTCCCTGCCTCTGCACCCTGTGTCTCTCCTTGTTATTGTTCCTTTCAGTGGGGTCAATGATTAACATCAGTACCACTAACATAAAACTGTGAACAAGATCCAGCATTTGACATCAAGTGTCTACTATGTATTAAGAATCACTTCAACATGAATGGGGAATGAATTGAACAAACTATATAATCCTATTATTTAGTATGATTACAGTTTTTTAAGTAAAGAGAAAATAGAGTGGGAAGGTGTTGGAAAGCTTGAAATATTTTAAAAGAGATCAGAGGACAAACAATGGGTAGCAGATGTCAGCTAGATTAACTGAAAGTGATAAAATAAAGAAAGTAAGGAAGTGGGGGCAGGAAAATTTGGTTGTTAGTAGGGGAAGAGAGCAAAGAAGGGGAGATAAGAGAGGCCAGAACCACGGTATGGGCAAACTGGCAACTGTAAGAGCTAATCACTTGAACTTGAACGTACTTGAACCCTACCTAAGACAAATCAAGGCTAAATAATAAACAAGTACAGAATTAAGCAATTAATATGAATATAAAATATAACAACATATATATATTTTCGAATTTATCTGCACAATTAAGTCACACATACATGTACAAATAATCATGCATAATAGAAAAAAGCAAAAAAGTAGTACAATATGATAAAAATGATGTTTGGAATTTTAAGAAAATAGTTAGAAAATTTTAAAAAAGAAGAAATATGAATAAAAATGGGAGTATGATAGAAGAGAAAACAAGTGAGAAAAAAAAGAAAAAAAAAGAAAGTGAGGTAAAAGAGAAAACTACCTTGCTGATAAATATGGAGATTGTTTCCGCTGAGGTGGTCAAAACTGTTGTCAGGGATGGAATTTCTATCTTCTTAGTTGATTTTGGTTTTGTACCTTTTGGGTTGAGGGTTGCTGCCTGTCTTTGTGGTTAGGAGGCACAACTGGTTGTAACAGATCTCAGCTTCCAGTCTCCTGCTAGAAGGTGGAGTATCACAATTTTGGTGCTGACAAATTGTGTCCTTCCATGACAGGGGCAGGGAGTATTCTAAATTGGGGATTCTAGTAATTGAGTTTTCATTTCAATTTTACTTTGGAACTCTGGGGGTGGCAGTTTGAGGATCTGTCCCTATTCTCTATTACTGGGGAGATACCAGTAGCTGCAGGATGCCATAACTTCTGGAGTCTCTATCAAACTCCACTTTCAGGGTGTAGGGATAAAACCTCCTCAGTTTTCAGCTTCCTCACTATATACATGAAATACCAGCTACCTGCTCCTGTGTGTCCACTACAGCACCAGCAATGAAAGTGGCTTTCTCCCTTGGAACCCAGGACCTGAACTGTCTAAATACAGTTTTCTTTGTGCCTGTTTTGATCTTTCTGTTTCAGGTGTCTTCTGGGATTTTTGTTTAAGTTGTCTGCAGGTATTCCCTATTTTCTGTCACTGCTATCAATTGTATCTGGTGGCGCTGGAGGTGTTCTTTCCTGTCTGGGACCATAGTGGCCACGGTGGTGGTGGGGGGGGGGGGGGGAGGCTGCTTTTTCCTCCAAGTGAAGATCAGCATTGTAGGGGCTCTTTTTGTCAGGTGCATGCGCAGATTGAGGCAGGTGTGGCAGCCTGATTTCTCTGTGTGGGGTGCCAGGCGCACGGTTACTGCAGTGGGTGCCCTGTACCGGGGTAGTCTGACTACAGACTTGGTAGTCTTTGGTACTGAGTGCTCTGAATACTGCATCCTTTTCACCTGACCAGCTGTGCATTCAGAGTGTTTCCCATTCCAGGGAAACTAATTGTGGATTTGCTTAAAGTAAGCCACTTCCCCTACTGACTCTGTGTCCATTAAAATCAGCTTTCCTCTCTGTGTTAGGTTTCCTCAAGCCAATATTTCATTTCTTTTAAATTATTATTTCTAATCTGCCATTCATACCTTCTCCTTTGTTTGTCTGGGATGTTCAAGTTTCTGATTTTGTGTCTTTATAATTTAAACTTTTTAGCAGTTCACCCATTAAATTTCATTTTTTTTTTTTTAAACCCACCTTGCTGAGAAACTCTTCTTGATTTGAGTCCTATGCTGAGGTACTGATGTGAGGTGCTTCTTTCCCCTAATCCACAGTCTTCCTTCCTTAGATTTATTTAAAGCTATTCACAGAAGTTAAAGTTTAAAGAAAATAAGTTTTTACCACATGCAACACACTTTTTTTTAGCTTCACTCAGTATTGATGTTAAATGTCTATACAGTTTATTAATTTGAAAAAAAAGTTAACAAAGCATAAAGTACATTGATGACTGCTCATACAAAAATTATTCATAAATAAGAAATGTAAGCTGTAGTTTTACATTGCAGTAGGAAATATGTCAGGTAAACAATAGCACACACCTCTATCATTCACTGGTTGGTTTCTGCCAGAATGTGCAAGGACATTTGGGTCTAATTACAATTTATCAGATGTTCATTGATGTTCATTTCTTGGTGTATGTAAATTACATCATCTGAAACTCTAGTTATTCATATTAAATAACTTCTTAAAAGTGAAGGCAACATTTCTCTAGGGCAAAATTAAAACAGCTGGGTATGATATCATTCCCATGTCTCCTGGAAATTTTCATCAATCTCATAAGGATGGATTTTGTTCCAAACTGGCAAATTTGGATTTAGCAGGAAGAGTGGGTCACTTGTACAATATTTCTTTGAGGAAATGACTGATTTTGGAAATCTTGTACTCTCATAGTTATTAGTATTAATCACTGCTTGTAAAGAGCATTGCCCAAAGCAGGTGTATTTAATAATCTTCAAATACACCTCTGTGGTGGTGTGAATTTCATCATATATACACAAATATTTTTGGTGCAACAAAATTGGTTTCATCTCCTCATAGCTATACATAAAAGAGTGATAATTTATGGAGATAAGAGTAAAGGGGTATTATTGAAAGATACACACTTTTAAAATTAGCACAAATCAACAAAGAGCTAATCTGAAAAAAATACATTTGCATTTTTCTTAAAGAGCATATATTACATAAAAGTTTAATTTTTTTTTTTTACTATAAGTGCTAAATGTTTCATTTCCTGAGATTTGTTGGAATTAATCAAAGGTCTTAAAGTATGCAAAGAGGAAAGAAATGTTTTCCCTCAATTTCAGGCTGAACTGTGAATCAACAATCTCCATCAATTACCTTCTGTCATTTTTCCATGCATCAGATTTTTCATTTGTGATATAGTCCCATTGAAATTTATTTCTTAACTACTCATCCTAAATTATGTTCAGCTTAAAGATGGCATGTAAGTAAAAATTACTAGTACTAAACCTTTGTCATTATTAAGTAGCTTTCTGCTTTTGAAGTGCAAACATAGAAAATGAGTTTTTTTACATCTGTTTTGATTTATATAACAATTCAAGTATCTCCTTTAAAAGGATTTCCTAAAAACTTTAATATTTATGAACCACAGATTTAAATAATATTTTCTGGAAGGCAGAATATTCCTTGAATATCCTTTGTTTTAATCCTGACTTACACTATACAGTTTAAAAACCTAGCTTTGGTTTGAATTGTACTTTTTAATAGTTTATCATAAATTTTTATCCACAGACTCAGTTAATCATTTAGAAAAAACAATATCTGTTGTGTGAAGGAAAGCTTCAGACTATAACATTTCATTTAAAAAGCTATATTCAAATAAAGATGTGGTCTGAATGTAAGTCATTTGTACTTATTTTCAGTTATGGCTGATAACTAAAATGTTCATTGGGTTTTGACATGAGATGGAGTTGTATCATAGTCCTGAAAATGAATTCCTTTAGAAGTTGTGATCTTCATTATAGCGCCATTGAAAGCATCATCTTCAATGAGTGTTAGTAATCCATTGGCAATCATTGATGGGCTAAAAATAAAGGAAATATTGATATTATGAAACTGAAGAATGAGGTATATTGTCACTTCAAGTTATATCTTGAAAAAAAGTCTATGACCTTGAAAGTATAATAAGGAAATATATATTATTAAATTATTGCTACCTCCAATTTTTATTCAATTAGATACTAACTAAATTATAAGATAAATTTAGTAGTAGATCCCATGCCTAATGTTTTGTAATTTGGGCAGGAACTATTTGTTGTCATTATTTATATTGAGAAGATAATTAGTTTCTCATCTTTATCATATAAGTAGATCTTAGATTTATCAGATACAACTTTTTTTTTTTTTGTACCAGGAATTGAACCCCGAGGTGCTTGACCACTCAGCCATATCCCCATCCCTTTCTATTCTATTTTTAAAGTTTTGAGATAGGGTCCTGCTAAGTTGCTTAGGGCCTTACTAAGTTGCTGAGGCTGCCTTTGAACTTGTGTTTCTCCTGCTTCAGTCTGGTGAGTTGCTGGATTACAGGCTTGAGCCACCACACCAACAAGATACAAATTTTTTTAAAGGGAAAATATGATGAATTATAAGTCGCATTTATTGAACATCTTATTTTTTTACCATTTGCTAGCCATTTTAAGTACCCTTCATTTATCATCTTATTGAAGTCTTTCCAAAGTCTCTAAATTTGTTTTAGCATTATCCGCATTTTACATGCCAGAATATTGAAGCATCTAGAGGTTTGATGGATATGTTGATAGTCAGTGGAGGAGTCAGGATTTGATCCCAGTTCCAAGTGAAAGCCTCAGCCACTCTTACTCAGAAACAATTCATTGTGTGTGTGTGTGTGTGGGGGGGTCATTTGTTTCTATGAAAATGTTTAATTATGTGACCATAAAAATTTCATAAGGGTTACACTTAAATATTGCCTGAAATTTAGGTAGACAACGTATAATTTCAAGGCAAATTTCATAGTGTATAAACACATTCTATTCAAAAATTGAGAAAATCATTTTCTTTCAAAGAGTTTGTCAACCCAAACTTTGAAGCTTGCAATAATTTCTCAAATTTAAAAGCTTACTCTTCCCTTTTATTGCTTGTCTAGACAGTATTTTGCTTCATTATTTAAAAGAAGAGAAATATAGTTTTACTCACTCCAAAATTCCATAGAATTTCATCAAGTCTTTGATGTGATCTTTATATTCTATGTATTGTCCCATGTTTTCTTCTTTTTCAATGGATTCAAGGATGGGCGTGTTGACAAAGCCTGGACAAATGGCGTTCAGTCTCACACCACTGTTCATAAGGTTAGCAGCCATCTGCCAATTAGAAGCAGAAGCCAAATTGAAATTAAAGTTATTCAACATATTGATATAAAAGTTGCTAATAAGATATCCTCTGACTTGTAACTACATAACAATGACTGGTAAGCAGAAAGACAGGAAAAGAACATATACCTAAGTACTGAATTAATTCCTGCAGATCTTACCTAATTGCTTTTTTTTTTAAGGCAATATTACTGGACAATTCCTGAAAATACTTAATTCTCTAAATGCTCTTATCTATTGAAGTCGAAAGAACTGGAAGCTAAGCAACTGAGTCTTAGAATTGACATCTACAGCTTTCTTTCAAGATTGTGATTGTACAACAGAAAATATTTGCTTAGAAATACTTTTGTGGAAAATTTTAGGACCTTAAAGGATTTTAAAGATACTTTACATAACTTGCACTATCTGGAAAACAAGTGGTATTTTCAGGTTAATATTTATTGGCTTAATTTTCAACCTATTGATTTACCTGAGTCATTTGTAAAATAAAATACAGTTTATTCTCATTATTTATTTGTGAATTCCATATTTGCACATTTGAACACTTGCTAAAATTGACTTATCATTCCAGTGAGCAATACTTGTGGAGATTTTGTAGTCACCTGTGGACATCCTCGAAGCAGTTTGGGGTCACAAATGCATATATTCCTGCTAAGATTAAGATTCACCTTGCCCTGTTTTTCTTTTATGCCTTTTGTTGGTAATTATCCTATTTAAAATGGCCCTCAAGTACAGTACAGAAATTCAGTTTAGTGTTCCTGTGTAAGAAGGCTGTGGTATGCCTTAGAGAGAAAACTTGTGAGTTAAATAAAGTTCGTTCAGGCATAAGTTATAAAAGATGTTAGCCATGAGTTCAGTGTTAATACAAAATATAATAAGTAAGGTATATTTAAATAGAAATCATGTATAAAACAAGGTTATTACTGAGTGTTTGATAAAAATGTGACCACAGGCTTTCTGGAACTTAATCCTTTTTCTCCCCTAGAAGCAATGGTCCAGCAGTCACTAATTCAGTTGACAAGCAACTTCACAGAACATAACTACTGCAAATAATGAGAATTGTTGCAAATGTTTGTGGTCTAAATGTGAAGTTTCTGATCTTTTAGATTTACTTTGTTTTGTCTTACTGCATTTTTTTTTTTTAAAAAAAAGGTTGAACTGAAGATTAAATCTTTGCAAACCCAATAATAATTTCTAATTCATTTAAATTAAGAGTGTGAGAACTGTTCATCTTTGCCTTTGAGTGAACAATTAACTTTCATAAATATTTTTTCTAGCATTTTTTATTTTGTTAACATTTTTCTTATCTTTCTGGCTCCTCTCTCACCTAGATGAACCACCCAGAAACCTTGATTGTTTTTCCCTCTGTTATGCTTGTGCTTTTTAATACATTTTCTAAATAGCAGGCGGAATGATTTTCTTAAAATGGAAACATAGTCTTATCACTCTTATGCATAAAAGACCCACCAGTAGCTGCACTCAAGAGTAAAATCCAAGCTCACACTGTCGGCTTTTAAGTCCTTTTTGGTCTGCTCTACTTACATCTCTGGGACTGTCTGATCCTAACATTCTCTTTCCTTTCTAGGCTCCATTCAAGCTGCCCTTATAAAAAGGCAAGCATTTTCACATTAGGCTATCAAAGCATGTGGTCAATTAGGTCTAAAATATTTTTCTAAGCTCTGAATACCCTTCACTGTAGGCCTCCAAGGCAACACTGTCCTTGAGTACTCCATCAAGTAAATGCCTGATCTGATTCCTCCTTCAGCCCCAAACACGGACTATTTTCATCATATCTCCAGGGACAGGCAATGTCTTCATGTTCTACTTAAGAAGCTTGAATTTGGTAATACTGGAATTTGGAGTTAATTTTGAAAAACAAACAGTATTTCTTCATTATTTATCCTTAAGGTATTTTTCAATAACATACCTATGTTTAGAATCTACTTCATTTTAAAACGATGTACCTTTTATTTAGTTCTCCACATGAACTGAAAACTATTTTTTTATATAATAAAAGTTGAAGTAAAATATTATGCTTTCATCTTTAATCTAGATGTACTGAATTCTTAATTTATTTTCCTCTACTTTATAAATCTGTGTTCATATAGATGTATAAAGAAAAATATCAACAATTAAACAAAATATAAAAAAGAAAAAGAGATATCGTTGTTATTGCATTCTCACCGCTGCCGAACGTGTGAATCCAATTATGCCGTGCTTGGAGGCACAGTAGACAGGCTGCTGTGCAACAGGCATGAGTCCTGAAAAAGAGGAACGAGAGGCTTAAATAATTTGATTAAAAAATGAGACTATATCCAATAATGACTGTGCAAGTACACGTTTTATGGCCATTTCAGTTTAATTTGGAAAATACACTAAAATAAAACCTGGTGACTTTGTAAAACTCAATAGCCTTAGCACAGTTTCTCTCTGTGACCTCTGTGGTCCAGAATTTATGGTAGGTAAGTTACATCTTCGTGCAGCCAAGAGTGATATGTAAGTTTTTCTGCTTCCCTGGCTTTCTGGAAGTCAAGGAAAATCAATTCCATTGAAAGCAGAGAATCATCTTTAAAGACAGTTAATTACCATCTAGTTTTCCGTTTTTAAGTCCAAATTTTCAGAAAAGTATATATTCAACATTTTTTTTTTTTTTTTTGTGGATGGGATTGAATCTTGTAGGGAGGTCTACTTCTGAACTACATCCCCAACCCCATTTATTTATTTATTTATTTATAGACAGGGTCTCCCTAAATCCCCAAGGCTGGCTTTGAACTTGTGATTGTCCTGCTTCCTCCTGCCAAGTAGCTGGGATTACAGGTGTGTGTCACCACACCCAGCTATATTAAATGTTTTTAAGGCTTCCAAATAGTTGAAGGATTTTGAATTGCTTAAGAGGGACTTAGAGATTATAGTTCTTCATTATAAGTTAGTATGCACTTCCCTGTCACCAATTTGCCTCATGTGATCACATGTAATGCCTCTAAGAGTTTAGTAAAATTAAAAATAAACATCTTTTGATGTAGGTCTGTAGTATATGGGTAGGCTCTTGTTCCATGACTTAAGAAGAAATAAAAATTTATGTTCTTATTTTATTTCTTGTCATAATTATATAGTCAATAACAGAATATAGATTGTTAATTTTACCCAGGTATATAATAGTAACTGATTCAATTCATGGTCTGTACAAAACCAAACAGTATTATAGTATATTCAGTGTCTTTTCTCCCTTAATTCCTGGTCTAGTCCAATCATTTAAAAGGAAACCAAAGGACAAAACAAAACAACAAAACACCCTATTTCACTGCAGTAACTATCAAGCATATTTCTTATTTATTGTCAAGACAAACTATCAAATTTAACTTTAGAATCAATTTTATATTTTAGTTTCTAGCTAATTTCTTAGATTAACTTGGCTTAACACTTCTTTTGTAATTTGTAATTTCTCTGAGTGGTCTCTGATTATTATGGTATTAGTATCAAATGTCATGCTAATAATACTAAATTATTCTGCTGAGTGTGTTCATCTCCACCCAGCTAACTAGTTTCAGAACACCACCAATCAGTTGAGAGTGTTGTGCCAAAGTTCAGCAATAAATGCAGACCTTAACCACTCCCTGGGTGCCTTCCAGGTCTCAATTTATAAAGTATGTTTGCTCAAGAGCAGTTTAAATCCCTAAGGATGGTAGATCACACATGATGTGTCTACCCAGTGACCTCAAAGTACCATAACATGTTGGTTTTCTTGCTGGTGTTTTGGTTAAACAAAATGTGTATGTTAATTAGATTCATAAGTGTCAGCAAGAATTTATAATGTCTCCACAGGATTCAGAGGTATATTAAGAATATGAGATAAAAAAATAATAGATACAGCCAAACGTTATTGATTTTTATTCTTATATATTAGTCCTTGCTTTACCCATTCCTTAAATGTTTGTGAATCAAACGTAGTGGTTGTAGATAGTGTTCACACACTGCAGGAATAGTGTGAATCTCAATGAGAGATAAACTAGTTGACAAAGTGGCAAAAAACCACAAGAACATTGTTCATAAATGTTATCAAAGATGGATTATGAACAAATTTTTGTTACATATATGAAAATTATGAACTTCTGAACCCAAGTTAGTTCAAGGAGTCTCAGAGGTGAAATAAATCAAACATTGCTTTGTTGGTTCTGGAAATAAGCAAATACAAAATATATAATACCTTTACTTTAAAGTAGAATTATAAATGCAACCAGAATGTGAAAGAACTTATTAGCATTTTTAAAATGGCACTTGGTTTTATGAATCTTCTAACATTCTAATGACATTTTCATTACTTTTCTACAAAATGTTTCCCCTTGCATTGCTTTCATTTTCTAATATTAGATCAAAGCTTACAGAAACCAATTTTAGACATTTAGGAACTAAGCTTTCTTTTAAAAATTTTATAGCTTTATTGAAATATAATTGACATACAAGAAAGCTGCATATATTTAAAATGTGCAATCTGAAAAGTTTTGACATGTGCATACACCTGTGAAACCATTACAATAATCAAGATAACACATATTCACCTGAAAAGTTTCCTTGTACCTCTTGAGAATACCTTCCTTCTGCATTTCCATTTTACCCTACCCAACCACTGATCTACTATGTTACCATGGTTCATATTTTCTAGAACTTATGTAAATGTAATTTTATAGTATAAATTCTTTTTGGTTTAATTGTTTCTCTTACAACAATTTTGAGATTCATTCATGTTGTAGTGTGTATCAATAGCTTAGTATTATTCTGTTTTTCAATTATCACATTTAGTCAAGTTGTAGTTAATTTAGTTAAACAGAGTATTTTCCTTTAACATCCCAAACATGTATATTTCATCAGGCTAAATAGGGAAAGAAAAGAGATTTTTTTTTCTTTTTTATTTTTCACAACAATTTTAGTTTCCAGATATCCAACATTTTCTATCAGATCTCAAGATCAATTTTTTTCTTTCAAAGTGTATTTTTATTGGGTTTAGCTTAAGTATTGGATAACCATACTTCCATTATTTATCTTAGACCCGCAACATCAGCATATAATATTGTTCCTATGTGCTTTAAATAAAATTGTGTTCTGATGTTGGTAATAAGGCTCAGCACATTGAATTATTCTGGATGGGCATGGTATGACTCTGAGGACATCTTCTTAGTGTAAATCATGCACCCTAAGGTTTCTAAAGTTCACAACCTACAGGATTACCCAAGGCAGCTATCTCTAATAGAGGAGGATGACTGAACAGAGAGAGAAGGAGGAACAAGCAGAGGTAAGAAAAAAAAACAAGCTAAGTGCTATATCATAGAAATTAAGGATGAAAATATTTAAGAGGTTTAAAGTGGTCATTAGTATCAAGTGCAGAATCAAATGAGAATCATTCTCTTTGAATAGGCTTCAGAATTACCTGCCTAAAAATAATACCTCTTCTGGTCTTGTACCTTTATCCAGCTACCACCACATTTTTCTTTAAAGGAAAAAAATCCTCAAAAGTTATTACATTCATTGTGTCTTCTTTCCTTACCTCCCATTTATTCCACAACTCATTCTAATAAGGCTCTCTTTTGAACACTCAATAGACTATGTGTGTGTGTGTGTGTGTGTGTGTGTGTGTATGTGTATGTGTGTGTTTATACAACCACATATACCTACATACATAGTTATTTCATCAGTTGGTGGTTTAGTGTATATATGTATATAAATGTATATAATATATAAATGTATATACATGGACATATGGTTATATATGTATATACACATATATACACACATTTGTATATATAAAGCACATAAAATACCTCAAAATTACTTACATAATTATAAAGTATGTATACATATACACAAATACATATAAACATGTAACACATCCTCCCTCCCACAAGCCCCTGGCAACCAGAGATCTTTTTATTATCTACTTAGGTTTGCTTTGTCCAAAATGTCATATAATTAAAATCATATGGTATGCAGCCTTTTTCGGATTGGCTTCTTTTACTTATTATTATGCACTTAAGATTCTTCCATGTCTTTTCATGATTTGATAGTTCATTTCTTTTTGGTGCTGAATGATATTGCATTGTCTGAATGTACTATGGTGTCTTTATCTACTGACTTACTGAAAGATGGCTTGTTTGCTTCCAAGTTTTAATAATTATGAATAAAATTGCTTTAAACATCCATGTACAATTTTTTTTGTGGTGCTGGGGATTTAACCCAAGGCCTTGTGCATGCAAGGCAAGCACTCTACCAACTAAGATATATCCCTAGCCCAATGTACAAGTTTTTGTGTGGACATAAATTTACAGTTCCTTTGTTTAAATGCCAAGGAACACAACTGCTGGACTGCATTGTAGAAATAGTTTTGTAAGAAATTGCCAAACTCTCTTCAAAAGTGGCTATACCATTTTGCATTCACACCAACCATGAATAAGAATCCTAATGCTTTACATCTTCATCAGCATTTGGGGTTCACAGTGTCTGAATTTGGCCATTTTAATTGTGTATAGGGTTATCTCATTGTTGTTTTAATTTCCAATTCCCTAGTGACATATGATGCTGAACACATTTTCATAGGATTGTTTGCCATCTGTATAGTATCTTTAATGAAGTGACTATTACCCATTTTAATTGTTTTTTTTTTTTTAATTTCCTTTTGTTGAGTTTAAAGTTTTTATATATTGGACAACAGTCATTTATTGGATATGTCATGTCTTGGGTAAGCGTTTTCTCCTAGCCTGGTTCGTCTTTTTATTCTCTTAGTAAAAAGAAATTTTTTAATGACCAAACAGCATAAGAAATGACATTTTGATAAAATGGTAAATTCCTTTTATATGCATTTAGTTTACTAATGTTTTCATTATACCCTGTACTTGATGGCACTAACTATAGTACTGAAATGAAATCACTCCTATTAAAGTTTTGAATTCGCACAGATATATTTTAAGGAAAGAAAACTACCAGAAGACATGACAATAAGTAGTACAAATCTCACTCTCCAGAGCTAAAGACAGAGTGAGAGGTTCATTTCTATATTAGTCTAGTCTTAAAATTCTTTCTACCCATATTTGTAAAGAGACAACTTTAATCTCTATATCTCATAGAAGGTAAAAATCTTAAAAGGTTTTATACAAAAACTGCAATCTCCTCAGAAAGACAACTACACTGAACATGCAAACATTTGCTTCTAAATGAATAGAAACCATGTGAAATGAACTATATAGAAATACTAAAAAAAAATTCAACTTAGGAA